TACTCTAGGTAAGTGTTTTTCAATCTTTTTTATCTCAGGGCACCCCTGAACCTGTAGTTAAACTTCTGTGCATACTTAAATTATGTTGATCAACAAAAAGAATTAAAAATATATATATACTTCCTGTGCTTTGAACTTCTTTCAAAAATAATTTAATTCATAATCTTTAAAAATTTTTATGGCACACCAGTTGAAAATCAGTCATACATAATAGGTATTATTATTGTTAATGTTACTACAGTAGAAATGAAATATAATAACAAACATTATAAAATGCTCTTTTTTCACTCTTGAAACATCAACTAATCAAATCACAGCTAGTGAATTTTTTGTTTTTGAGGAAACAGAGTCTCACTGGGGTTGAGTGCCATGGCATCATCATAGCTCACGGCAACCTCAAATTCTTGGGTTCAAGTGATCCTCATGCCTCAGCTTCCTGAGTAGCTGGGGCACCCACCACAATAAGAATATGGCCTTTTAGATTCTTCAATGTAAACTTTCTTTTACTCACTACTTGGAATTAACTTTTTTTTTTTTGAGACAGAGTCTCACTATGTTACCCTCAGTAGAGTACCATGGAGTTACAGCTCATAGCAATCTCAAACTGTTGGGCTTAAGCGATTGTCTTGCCTCAGCCTCCCAAGTAGCTAGAACTATAGGCATCCTCTACAACACCTAACTATTTTTTATTGCAGTTGTCACGTTGTTCAGCTGGCCTGGGCCAGGTTAGAACCCACCAGCCTTGGTGTATGTGGCTGGTGCCGTAACCATTGTGCTATGAGCACTCAGTCTGGAAATAACTTTAGTTGACAAGTTAATATGTATCTTTTCAACCCTTTTCTTTGTGCTTATCTCTATTTTACTGAGAAAAATAAAGCCACATTGTATTTTGTTCTCTAAATTTTTCCACTAAAGAATATGAGTACTGTTTTATATAACTAAATATTACAGTTGGCCCTCCTTATCTGTGTGTTCCTCATCTATGGATTCAAACAAGTGTGGATAGAAAATTTTAAAAAACAAAAACTGGGTGGTTGCATCTATACTGAACATGTAGACTTTTTTTCTTGTCATTAAATAATACATCGTAATAATGTATTGTTATGTATAATTAGTATATTTTTATATCTAAATATACTGTATTAGGTATTACAAATAAGCTAGAAATGATTTTAAGTATACAGGGTATATGTAGGTTACGTGCAAATACTACCCCATTTGATAGAGAACACTTGACCATCTGTTGTTTTGGTAAGGTGAAGGGTCCTGGAACCAACCTGCATGGATACCATAGGGATTCTTTAACATTACAAAAAAGAATAAAATTCATGGACTATTTCAATATGTTTACCCTAATCACATAAAGCTTCCTTGAACAAAATCCTAAACTTTTACAAAGGCCTAAAACATTTTTAACTATTTCTCTCATAATATGGTATTTGTACAATATCCTTAATTTTATACAGATAAATAATTTATATATATATCACATACTATTTATATATAAATATACATGTATTTACATTTTCTGCTAAATATTCCTTAAAAGTATTCTCAAATGACATTATTTGATGTGACCAAAGAATTGAGGCTCTGGACAAGTTAAGTTTTGCTAGATAGCCGGACATTAAATTAGAAATCAAATATTATATTTCAGGCTCGGCGCCTATAGCTCAGCAGCTATGGCACCAGTCATATACACCACTGCTGGCAGGTTTGAATCCAGCCCAGGCGCCAAACAACAATAACAATCACAACCAAAAAGTAGCAGGGCATTATGGCAGGAGCCTGTAGTCCTAGCTATTTGGGAGGCTAAGGCAACAGAATCACTTAAAGCCCAAGAGTTTGAGGTTGCTGTGAGCTGTGACACCACAGCACTCTACCAAGGGTGACAAAGTGAGACTCTGTCTAAAAAATAAATTATATTTCCACCAATCCTCCCAAAATGTATTTTACAGACCTGATACAGTATGCTGAATATTTTTTAAAAGAAAAGAAACAGTAACTGAAACAGCCACAGTACAATGAAAATAGTACTCAACTCAGCAACAAAAGAACCCTGATGGGACACCCTCTCTGACATATGCCAGCAAGTGTTATCTTGATTAACCACTTGTTTCCTGTAGGTCTCATTTTCCTGATCTCAATAAAAAGAAATGGAAAATGTTTGAATATCTGTCGTTTGTACTATAAGGCTATGAGGAAAAAGTGGGATGATACTTTATCATTAGCTATTTTAAAACCATACCACCTGCTGTTTAGTGATAGCTTATATACTTGGATAATTCACTGCTTATAAGTTGAAAATATTTACAAGTCTCTATCTTGTTTATTATTGGATAATTCCTAGGTTTTTTTTTGAACATTTTTCCAAGGTGTGTATGTTTAACATATCAAACATTTTGCCATAAAAGATTTATTCAATTAAAGATCAAAAGAAGGCTGGGTGCAGCAGCTCAGGGTTGTAATCCTAGCACTTTGGGAAGTGGAGGCAGGTGGGCTACCTGAGCTCAGGAGGAGTTTCAGACCAGCCT